AAAAAAAAAAAAAAACTTACTTTAAAACCTTACTTTAAAATATTTGATATTGCCACATAACAGAATGTTCAAAACACATGACAAAAAGTGTATAAAGTGGGGGTGGGGAGGAGTCTAGTAAATTTCCTGTGTAGTTTGCAGAGTTTCTTGTGTATTCTAGAAGTTTTCTAGGCATATACACATATGTGTTGGGTCTTTTTGCTTGTCTTCATTGTGGAATCTACTCTACACACCCTTTCTCAGTTGAGTATTTTTATGTTCCATTTGTTGTTCATATCTTTTCATGTCAGCATATATGGATTGACTTTGGGCCCTTGATAACTACAGCCTTTTATTGTTTCTAGCCCAGTTTTCTTTTTCTAACATGATTCTTACATGACATTTTATGTTTGTTTGTTTTTTAGTAAATATTGACATCCAAACTGACAATAATTTGACAAAAGAAATGTATGAAGAAAAAGATAATACAGCATTTGAACTTCAGAGGAACTTTTTCCAAAAAGCAGACTTTTCAGAAGCCTGTATTCTAGAGAAACAGCAGGAAGTCCATTCAGTAGGGAGTAGGAAGAAAGAAAGCAATCATGTCATTGACAGAACAGTGAAAGATGAGACAAATCCTATGGAGCACCATTTTAGTCAAAGTCAATATTTGAATCACTGCCATACTATCTCTACTCAAGAACAGTCTCCTAATGGTACACGATTGGAGGAAGCCTTCAACTTTAACACAAAACTTACTCAGCATGATATAACCAATAGTGGGGAAAGAGCTTTCAAATGTGAAGAAGAAACCTTTAAGTGTAATAAATCTTATTTTAATCAACATCAAGATAGCTACACTGGGGAGAAGCTCTACCATTGTAAGGAGTGTGGCAAAGCCTTTAGTGTTAATGCAAAATTAATTTGGCATCAAAGACTTCATAGTGGAGAGAAACCCTTCAAATGTGTAGAGTGTGGGAAATGCTTCAGTTATAGCTCCCATTATATTACCCACCAGACAATCCACAGTGGGGAGAAGCCCTATCAGTGTAATGTGTGTGGAAAGGCCTTCAGTGTTAATGGGAGTCTAAGTAGGCATCAGAGAATCCATACAGGAGAGAAACCCTATCAATGCAAAGAATGTGGGAATGGCTTCAGTTGCAGTTCTGCATATATCACACATCAGAGAGTCCATACTGGGGAGAAACCTTATGAGTGTAATGACTGTGGGAAAGCTTTCAATGTCAATGCAAAGTTAATTCAACATCAGAGAATCCACACTGGAGAGAAGCCTTATGGGTGTCGTGAATGTGGGAAAGGTTTCAGGTGCAGTTCCCAGCTTAGGCAGCATCAGAGTACCCACACTGGAGAGAAGCCCTTTCAGTGTAAAGAATGTGGAAAAGCCTTTAGCAATAATGCAAAACTCATTCAGCATCAAAGAACCCACACAGGAGAAAAACCTTATGAATGTACTGAATGTGGAAAAGCTTTCAGTGTCAAAGGGAAGTTAATCCAACACCACAGAATCCACACAGGTGAAAAACCCTATGAGTGTAATGAATGTGGAAAAGGCTTCCGGTGTAATGCCCAGCTTCGACAGCATCTGAGAATCCATACTGGGGAGAAGCCCTTTGAGTGTAATGAGTGTGGAAAGGCTTTCAATGTTAATGCAAAACTAATGCAGCATCAGAGGAGTCACACTGGGGAGAAGCCCTTTGCATGTAATGAGTGTGGGAAGTGCTTTACTTCTAAAAGAAACCTACTTGATCACCACCGAATCCATACTGGAGAAAAACCTTATCAATGTAAGGAATGTGGGAAAGCCTTCAGTATCAATGCCAAACTAACTAGGCACCAGAGAATACACACTGGAGAGAAGCCTTTTAAGTGTATAGAATGTGAGAAAGCATTTAGCTGTAGTTCTGACTATATTGTACATCAGAGAATACATACTGGAGAGAAGCCCTTTCAGTGTAAGGAGTGTGGGAAAGCCTTTCATGTTAATGCTCATTTAATTCGGCATCAGAGAAGCCATACTGGGGAGAAACCTTTCAGGTGTATGGAGTGTGGCAAAGGCTTCAGCTATAGTTCTGATTGTATTATACATCAGACAGTCCATACATGGAAGAAGCCCTATGTGTGTAATGTGTGTGGGAAGGCCTTCAGGTTTAATTTCCAACTTAGTCAGCATCAAAGTGGCCATACCGAAGAAAAACCCTAATAATTGGAAGGATGTAGAAAGCTCAAGTTTAATGCTGAAATGGATTAAGTACCATCAGGTTCACCTTAATGGAGACCCCCATAGGGAAATCTATATGGTAGAACTTTTACATGGAAACAAATCCTTTCCATTTTATTTAATTTTAGATCAACAATGATGACCAGTTGAAAAGTTAACATATCAAAATAGTTTTGTATCAACAACCAATTAGAGGATATAATTTATAAGTATTCCATCCTCAACAGCATCAAGGAAAATAGATTTTTTAGAAACAAACTTTATGTTGGACCTCTTTGGGAAAGTTTATAAATCTCTACTGAACAGATCTCTACTGAGGATCACAAATGGAAACTTGAATAAATGGGAAAGAGAGAGAAACCTTGTTCTTGCATAGGAAGATAAACTCATAAAGATGTTCTGTAAATTAAAACTCATAAAGATGTTCTGTAAGTTAATTTATTTGCCTTTTATTTTTGACAATAAGTATGCATTGTTTTTGCAGCGAGGAGAAACTAGTAAAGATTTCACTTACAAAGATGAGTAAATGTTTTCATGAAATGGAAACATTTTCCCTGGTTGTGCCACCAGGGAGGGCCCTTCAAATAAGGCTTTTTTTTTTTTTTTCAAAGCACCCAGGCCATAGGATCCTCACTAAGGAGAAACAGACCTGGAGATGGATGGTACACTACCTGGTCATACAGAAAATCAGTGGTCCACATCCCTTACCCTGGACAGGATGAAAGGTAGATCTTAGGCCCTCAATGTGCAGGCCCCATGTCGTGCCCCTCAGAAACCAAAGCATCCAGAGTAAGATGTGAGTCACTGGCAAAGGAGAGGTCACCCCAACTTCCTGGTTTGTAAAAAGCCTCTAGATGGTCTGTGGGTATAACAGTTGGGAGAGGGAGGGTATGATACTACTAAGTATCATAATAGCTAGAAACCTACCATAAGGGAAATACTGATAAATTGACTTCAAAATTAAATGTTTTAAGTAATCTCAAGGTTTGGGTTTTTTTTTTTAATGATTTATTTACACATACAAGAATTGGGGTATAGGCCAGAGGTGCGGGGAGTGAGAAGATTCACCGGGGACAGAGTGGGGAGCAGAGCAGGTAGATCAACTGAAATACACTGTCATGGGGAGCAGCAGGCAGGACAGGAGAGATCGCCATGCCATGTGGGTCACCTCACTGGTCAGGGATCAAACTCGAGCTGCATGGCTGCAGATAGCTCCATAGTACTGAGACTTACCCTTTTGTGCCACCAGGGAGGGCCCTTCAAATAAGGCTTTTTTTTTTTTTTTTCAAAGTAGCAAAAGTGGAAATAACCTTTGTATAATTTGTGGAATAAAAGTGTGGTATTTTGCATACAAATGACTGAGCTCTTCAGTGTCTATTGTATTCTGAAGAGTGAAAACTAAAAGGAGGCTCCCAAATCTCTTTGGCAGAGGTAAGATCTGCACACAGACTATAAACACACAATAGGCCCTGCAACTATAATACACCACCCCACATACACAGGTTGACACAGTCACTACCTACCTACCCAGTCATCTCTGACCTTGCTATATAGCTCCACAGGTTCACACAGTCACTACCTACCTACCCAGTCATCTCTGACCTTGCTATATAGCTCCACAGGTTCACACAGTCACTACCTACCTACCCAGTCATCTCTGACCTTGCTGTATAGTTCGTGGACCAGTGTCAGGTGGGAGTGCTGTCTTGAATACAAAGGTTACATTCCTATCAGAAAGCTGGTGTAGGATCTCAGCAGAGTGTCTCAGGAATGGCATTGTGCAAACCCTGCCCCACCGTGAGTGCAGGTAGACTCAGACCTTGAAGTCCTAACACACAGGAAGGAGCAGGACCCTTCTTCCTCTGGACTGACCAGCCCTGCTTTGGGAAGTTCTAGACCACATACTGAAACCCAGAAGCACCCAGGCCATAGAATCCTCACTAAGGAGAAATAGACCTGGAGATGGATGGTAGACTACCTGGTCATACAGAAAATCAGTGGTCCACATCCCTTACCCTGGACAGGATGAAAGGTAGATCTTAGGCCCTCAATGTGCAGGCCCCTCAGAAACCAAAGCATCCAGAGTAAGATGTGAGTCACTGGCAAAGGAGAGGTCACCCCAACTTCCTGGTTTGTGAAAAGCCTCTAGATGGTCTGTGGGTATAACAGTTGGGAGAGGGAGGGTATGGAAGGTCCTTCAGCCCTGGCTCTCGGCAGGATCCAGCAGTTTCTCTGCTGTGGCTGGACTGAGGCAGGGACTCCACTGCCAACTGAGAACAGCTGAGTACAGAGCCTGCTGACCCCTATCTGCCACCATTGCCCTGTGGCACTTGGGCCTCAGGCTTCAGTCCAGTGCAGGGTGGGACTAGTCCTAGGGCTCTAGGCCCTTCCCACCTAGACAACTTGAGGGTCTGTTACTGTGCAGGAAAGTTTCTATTAGGTTCCCAATTACAGGAAGATAAGGAAGATGCCTGCAAAGCTGTGGGAAGTCTCATGGCCCTAGGAATTCTGATATATGTAACCTCTGTTCACTGCTGTGGTGCAGACTGCCTGGGTCTGGTGGAGACCTTGAGAAGGCAGGAGCCACAGCACCGGAGAACCTGACCCTCACATAGCACTCCTTTTCTTAGCTGGAGTCATGGGCCTTTCTCCCTCAGTTGGAGTCTGTGTTCTGCCCCACAGTTCAGGGTGCCTTTCAACTGGCTGGCACTTGGGACATCTGGTCCTGCCCTATTCGGGTCAGGAGGTGAAACAGGTTCAGAGGAAAACATGATTACCATGGGGCACTCCCAGAGAGCCCTAGAGAGTCCAAGCAGGGCAGGGCTGGGAGGGTCCTTGGGCAATTCCAGGTTGGGCTCCTGTGTCATCTCTGCACAAGGGGCTCCCTGGGGCCAGGGGCCCTGACCATGTGTGGGGCTGGGTTCCTGAGAAAAGCTTTCTGAATCCTCTTGTCCTACCTGTGCTTGGCCATAATCCCACTTTTGTCTGCAGCCTTTTCCAGACAAGGCACTGAGGACATCCAGCTCCTCACACAATCCATTGGATTCAACCTTTGTAGGCCCTTCCACATGTGTGAGAGCTCCCTGCAGCAGGCTCACCCCGCCCTGGTTCTACTCCCTACAGACCACGTGGTCCTCGGGAAGTCCAACACCTCCTGAGCCTCCAGGGGCCAAGCGGTGGGTCGAGCCCTGGTTCAGAGTGGCGCTGACTCCTCCACCCACACTGCTCGCGGGAAGACAGCCCAGCGCCAGCCTCCCTCCTGTTCCAGCTTCACCTCCCACAGCTCATCAGCGTATGCCCTGTGCGGGCTGATCCCCAGGTGGCTCCAGTGATCCCGGCGTGTGCCCCCCTCCCTCTCCCCCACCGAAATCCCACCCACACTCAGCCTAGCCCAGCCTCCAGGAAGCCCCTTTCCGGCTGCAAGATTCGCACAGCAGCTCTCTGCTCGGGTTTCCTCCAGCCCACCACGGTGCCTACCACGGTAAGGAGCGCTTGTGGCACGGTTTCCCACGTGTCTACTTTCCGCCTTAGGCCTGGGGCCCCGGAGCCCACATGCTCTGGGGTGCGACCATAGACTGATTCGCAAGGCCCTGGGCCGCAGGCGCGCGGTGTGGGAGGCCGGGCGGCGCCTTCTGAGGCAGCGTGCTCTGCCGGCCTTCGGCGCGCGCCTTCTCGCTGTGGGTTCAGCTTTGGTCTCTGCATGAGAGCGGCAGGACTTGGGCCTGCACATCCAGGGCCTGAAGAGCTGCACCGTGGGCTGAGAGAATCCATAAGGACTCTGGCCGCCAAGTTGGCCTCTTGCTGCCCCTGGTGGCTAAGTCGCTCACCGCAGGGCTGGCATGAAACGACTCGAAGTCCCTCTGGGATCCCCACAGTTGCTCTCCGATCCTGAGGGGTGTCTCTTGAGCAGCTCCTGTAGGCCCAGAGTCCTGGCCAAACAGATGGAGCTCTTGTTGGAAAATTCTCCTGTGGATCCTCTGGGGTAAAGGTGGAATGGACTTCATCTTGGATACTGGGGAGGTCTTCTTGGGGCCCTGGGGAGGTCCCCCACCACCGACCTGAGGCCGAGGTTGATGCACCAGGTTTTGTGTAGCACAGTGCAAACTTTCTTTCAAAGAAGCATAACCCCCCCTCACCCCCACCCCCCAACTCAGAGGCCCTGCTTGTAAATTTAGGTAAGTAGAAGTGCAAGGAGAGGTTTGTCAAGGCCCGGGAGTGAGTGGCCACGGGGGCTTTGCTTGATGGTCCCTGGGAGATGAGACGCCCATCCAGGACAGATTGCAGGACTCAGAATCCTGCAGGTCTGGGAGGGGTGTGTGTGAGAAGGAGGCGCCACCATGCTCTCCTGGGAAGGGTACATGGTAAGGAATGGTGAGTTTGGAGGGCCTCCAGGAGATTGAGGGAGGACTAGAGGACCACAGTGAGGGGTCCTGGACAAGCTGTGTCCCTTCCACCTGGGGCGCTCTTACCCGCGTGTCTGCCGAGCTCACCAGCGCCCCCTTGCGGGTTTCCCTGGTATCTCCGTCAGCATCCGGCTCCGGCAGGAGGTGCCCGCCCGACACCCACTCTGTAGCCCTCTCAGCCTGCTGTACTTGGGTCGGCTGGTTTGCCGACTCGCCCAGTAGATGGCAAACTCGCTGGAAGGCCACTTGCTAGGCCAGACGGCCCTCGCTCATGATTCATTTCAATTGAGTGGGTAGTGAATCAGTAAGGGAAGAAGTGTTTTGTGGTCTGAGTTTTCATCAAGCACGACAGGCGCCCCTCCCCCGTCCCGCCTCGTGATTTCCACAATACTCCAGCGGGGAAAGAAGTTTCCTGTTGGGGGAGCTGTAGCACGAGAACAACCATCGAGCGCACTGGGCTAGGAGAGACCCTGTGTGTGACTGAAGTTAAAATTGGGTTGTTCTCCAGCTGTCGGCCAGAGGGCCCCGCCCCCCACCCCCCTCACACACGCTGGCCAAGATTTCCAGGCTGATGTTTGAGATCCGGCTCTGATAATCCCAACTCTGACCTGGGGTTCTTCCATCAAGTGCTGGGGTCTCCCCAAGCCATTTGACCAGAGCTGGCCAGGATCTCTGGGGAAGGGTGGCTGCAGCTGGCTGGCTCTTCTCACAGGGAAGTGGAGGTAAGAACACCACCAGCTGTGCCGTCTAGGGTTTGCGGGAGGGAGCCGAAAGGAAATTTGCCTTACGGGGTCTAGCTTCGATCTGTTTTTGTTTTATTTGGGAGTGGCCAGGTTAATGAGGGGTAAAAGTGGCAGCAGGCTTAACCTGGATGGGGACCGATGTTAAATACCAGGAATCTGGGTATTATCTTGAAGGCATAGGCAGCCACAAAAGTTTTGGGAACCAGGGGTGTGTAAAAGGGGGATAAGAGAAAGGGAGAGATAGCTCTGGAGACTGGTTACCGTGGGTCGTGAAAGATTTCTCTACCATCAATCATTTCAGAACTTGTGCTGTAACTGGGTGGTCAGGTTTGGGGCTTTAGGGGTTCCCCTCTCTCCCTATCCTGTTACACTGCCACAAAGGAAGGAAGTCAGTGGATGAGAAAGAAACAGTACAGGAGGGGGTGTTCTTTGGGGAAGGTGGGCCAGTGCAGGAGAATGGGGGGGCCCAGCCAGAAAAAGTCCAGGGTCATAGACCCTTCTCCTCTTGTCAGAGAGGGCCCAGCACATGGGGGTTACACATCTCTTCTCAAATCCGGGGTCCCCTCGGCTAGCCAAAGCAGCCTCTCCACTACCCAAGGGGATGTGAGGTGAAGTCCCAGTCCCACCCAGCCCTACAAGATCAGAAACTTTGGGGTTGGGCAGAGAGCACCCTATTTGAAAAAGCCCTGCAGGAGATTCTAATGCATGCTCAAATTTAACCTGAATGGGAGAGCCCCAAAAGAAAGGCATCCATGGTGTTCACCCCTATGGTGAAGGGGTAAAAACCCAGAGCCATATTTGTTCAAACAAGCAGAGGCAGGCAGGAAAAGGAAGCAGGC